CTCATTTAGATGTTTTCTGTTGTGTTATCCTTGTTATCATCCCACTGAGCACACCATACCATATGTGTTGTAGAGAATGGTACATTTTTGTTCTTGGCAGTTCTCGTGCCTTCTGATAACCTGTCATCTTACTGAGCTTATCTTTAACTCTTGTTGGTGTAAAACATTAGAATGGGAGCATTTTCTGTTTAAAAGCTTAATTCATTTCAAGATGGCATCTTGACCCAGTAGACAACCAAATTTTACCTCAGAGCACCTCTGCCATGTAATTGATTTTGCTTCAGTACAATAAATAAAGTATGAACGGATTTAATTATGGCTGTTTTGTTACTTTCTAATGTACTGTACATAGTCCAGTGGGTGAATCTGGTTTCTATATTTACCTATGTACACTTATATTTACTTTCGACAAAAAGCTGTTAATCCATGTATGAAAGGTCCTGAAAGTGCAAACATCACATGCATTAGAGCCATATCTCTTTCTACAGTATAAAAGCTTCCGATAATGATAATATCTTTTGTATGGCGAACATTTTGTGTGTGTATGTATATGGGGTTTTTTCACCACAGTTCTGCATTTACAAGCAGAGTATAAATAGTGTGTGTGTGTGTGTGTGTGTGTGTGTGTGTGTGTGTGTGTGTGTTATTTGTGTGAGTGTGTGTGTGAGTGAGTGTGTGTGTGTGTGTGTGTGTGTGTGTGTGTGTTTGTGGGGGGGGCATTAAAGTTGGTTAGATTTTTCTTTTACCTACACTTTGTTTGTAAATATAAAATTCATGCGTGATATGACCAGTACATTAACAGTATCATTTATGAAGCAAGCAACATAATATATGGAGTTGCTATCAAAGTCAATCTGCATTAAGTACTGAATATTGTACTTTATTCATTCTCTGAAATGGATACATCTTTTAATATCTCCAGCAGTATTTGAAATAATGTTTTTTTATTTTTATTCGATTCCTATTTATTTAATTTGACTGTCAGGTTTTTTTTTTTTTGTTTTTTTTATTAAGTTCAGTATATCTGATATGAGCCTTTTATCTTCAGCCTCTCAGGAGCAAGTACAAAATGTCTGCAACATGTTTTTGTGACTTTTATAGCTGTCTGAATGTTCATCAACACTCACTAAACCACAGTTTCCTCTCAGTATAGCACACAGCCACTGCCACAGACCGTACACCCAGGATGAGCAGACTGTCTTCTATGTGAAATTGAAACTGCATGGCATTCGTTTCATAGCATGATGCTCTTAGGGTATGTGGATCTATTAAAAAAAATGGATAACCAACTACTGAATCTAACTTCTGATCCACAAGAAGGAAAATATTTAACCCACACACCAATTTACAAGTCTTCCAAATTGTCTGGATATTGATTTTATAATAGCATCTAGAAACATTTACACATCTGTTTTAAATAATCTTATATAATTTGATTTAATATATTTTTTAAAATATGGATCATCAGCAAAATAGATGATATCTCTAGCTATTTTTTTGGAACCACATAGCTTTTTATATATTAAAGTTTCACCTGCAGAACACTTAGGTCCAAGCTGACATCTCTGCAGGCCATAATTATTTTTTAGTTTAATTCAATGGACCGGACAAACCGGCTAATAACTATATACAAGCTCATTAATATATATGATATGATATAATTACAAATTGCTAAGTGCTACAGAATGATTAAGACTATCTTGGTCAACATTACAAGTGATATAGATGGAAGTATCATTTAAATACCTTAACTAGGAAAGAAATCGAATTAATTCCTATTCAGTGTCTGATTAATTAAATCTATAAACCTGACCTCTCAGTTCGGGTAGCGTTTAAAGAAGTAGAGAACAATAAATCAGTACATAATACATCATGAAAAAAGCCTCTTTAATTAAATTAAACTCTGTTCTGCATGTACATACACTGCCAAAGGTTTCTTACCTCCTCCATATACCTGACACAAATAAGGGAACCTCCATACATTCCCCAAGCCGACAGCAAATCCAATGCATGTCAGCAGGTACTGAACCTTATTGTCCCATTTGGGGCGTTCATCAGGCTTAGTGGCCTCCTCTTGAGCTTGGCTCAGCTCGATGTCTTTGGTGCTCTGAGCCCCTTCCATCCTTCAGTTTACTTTGCAGTTGACTTGTGAATTATAGGCCAGATCTGACTGTCATTTCCTCTTCACACCAGCTCTCGCTTCGCTTTACCTTGACAATTTCTGGGGTTTTCTTCCCCTGAAGAAGGGGAGGAGCTTTGGCACTCTTGTTCAATCCCACATTATGCTGCAGAGTACTGCTTTTTTCTGGCGCATTTCCAGTGGTGCTGAGATATGCCAGGAAGCCCAGACAGCTACAGTGGCAAACACTCCTCCTCCTCCTCCTCCTCAGCTGTTTATTTAAGCAAGCTATGGCTGCACAGAGCATCTAATCTACAGGTTAACTGGTTACTCATTGCCATGACTTCAAAATGGAAGGATGTTAACTATATGCTTGTTCCCACTGTTACAGACAAGCTTACTGTATTACTTTGCACTAAATTGATTACTCATTACCATAAATATATCAATAAAAGTAAAGATTTTGGTTAAGAGCGATATGTTTATTTTAGTAAAACATTGCTTATTTTAGGAAAACAGGAAAACATGGCACCAAAATTTGTATATGTAAAGTGCTTTGAACAAGTATTGATTAATTAAATAAAATAACTCAACATGTCCATTAACAAAACTACAGTTGTCATATAATGCAAATATAATACAGTGAAAATGTTTGGTTAAAAAATAAATACGGTTCTCTAGTATATATGATACCACAAATTAATACAAAGGGCATTCATTTGAAAATTACAAGCATATAATTTCATAAAACCAGCAGGGGGTGCATTTCTAACAATAATCTATTATTATTGTCAGAATTGTAAAAAAAAAAAATAAAAAAGTTCTTGAGTAAATAATGAAGAAATAATACCAATTATCGAATTACCAATTACCAAAAATCTAATACAAAATATATATATAATCTGGCACATTCATAAGACTTGCTTACTGAATTAAGAATGGTGCTCTTTATTTAGACACCAACATTCATTTACAGCAGCGTTTCTGTATGGCCCTAATAATGGCAGCACCAGGTATAGCAAGACTAGGAATCCCAGCCAATATGAAGATTATTGCATAGATCCACGATGGGTAGGGCTTCTGCTCCAGAGTAGGAAATTCCGGCTGTAATACAAACAGAGATTGTCAGGCTAACTGCTGTGTATTAAACATTTCTTCCCTGACCAGTAGAGACGTATGGATCAGTGACGTGTTGTATGGATCCCTGACTAAGTCACTCTGGAAAAAAGTGTCTGCTAAATGACTAAATGTAAATGTAGGTAATGTTCACCACAGCCACTCATGGAATGAGCTCACATGGCAATTTAGATTGCAAATGCTTATTAACTTGGATATTGCTATACTTTAAGCTCTTACCACATGCAGCCTCATGAGTAACCTTACCGATTCAGGGTCCCAGGCAATGTAAAAGAGCTCCTTGGAGACAGTGGTAACAAAATAGAAGAGGAAGATGACCAACATGATGAGGGGGCTGATAACTCTCCATGTGGCCTGCCAGAAGATATTGGGCTTGTGGCCGATCATGAAGACCAGGTCTTTATTGAACCTGTTGGGATAGCACATGGTCTCGGATTTGACATCACTCCAGGATGCAGCAATTTTGATTAAAAGTGCTGACGCTGAGATTTTTTGTTAACCAATGCATGCTGTAATTATCACAGCACAATCTTTTACTCCGAGTACCCCACAGCCACAAATAATAGGTAAGATAATAGCTACCAAGGCATGAAAGATCATAGGGTATGGAACAAGAAAGATGTCCAAGAAAGGCATGGAAGAACTGTTTTTTGTCAAAGAAAATCAGTCTTTCACTTACCTATCTATTCCATAAATATACACCACCCCAACCATCTCACAGAAGGCAATAATGAGTAGAGGGATGGAACCAGCGAAATTGTCAAAGAGCGCCAGCCAGTAATTCCCTGACCCTTGGACGAATATCAACGCGATAAGACAACACAGCACACAGGTCAGTCCTGAAATAATAATTAAAAAAACAGGCCAGTGTGTTACTTATCAACATTTACCCAAAAACACAATAAGAATCTTTTAATTTTAATGTGTGCCAAAATTGCTGGCTGATGATCTCTCTCTGAATACTGTACCTGAGATCACTTCTTTAGGCCAGTGTTTGGGGAAGACCTTTAAGTCCTGCAAAGGCACCAGGACTCCTTCAATGTTTCCAAACATGGAGGACAGGCCAAGGCAGAAGAGCATGACAAAGAAAAGGACGGACCACAGTGGAGACAAGGGCATCTTGGTGATGGCCTCTGTGAAGACAATGAAGGCCAGGCCTGTGCCCTCCACACCCTGTTTAACCAAAGAAGCAAAGCATGGAGCATTTCATGTCTCTTCATTAAGCCTTAAAATGTTGCGAGGGACAAATTGGATATCAACCCTGTGATACTCAATTCAAAAGGTGTAATGAATGCAAGTAATTTTTTGAGAAAAGACGACTCTACCTCACTGAGGAATTTATTCAGGTCACAGGTCCGAAGATTTAGACCCTGAATGACATCGGGGTATGTGGTGTTAAGCTCTTTAAAAACTTGATCGTAGTTACTTTCAGTGACGTTTGCTTCTGGCAGGTCAAAGGTGTTCAGCAAAGTCATAATGTTTCTGCAGGAGAGATGCAGAGCACATTCTTAGATAACTTAGTGAAGTGACGTGTAGCCAAGTATGGTGGCCCATACTCGGGATTTGTGCTCTGAATTTAACCCATCCAAGCATACACACAGTAGTGAACACACACACACACACAGAGCAGTGGGCAGCCTTTTTTGCTGCAGCGCCCGTGACCCTTACTCAAGGGTCTCACCTCAGTCGTGGTATTAAGAGTGGAAGAAGGCGCTGGTCATTCACTCCCCCCACCTACAACCCCTGCCAGACCTGAGACTCAAACCCGTGACCTTCAGGTTCCAAGTCTGATTCTCTAACCATTAGGCCCCGACTGCCCCAGGAACCTTTTTTCCAGGTACAGATGTCTGCTGTTAAGAGAATAAGTCACAAGTACGTACGTTGCGAGACAGTCGTCATATCTCTCTGTGGCTCTGAAACCGATAATGGTGTAGATTACAGTGGCAGCAAAGATTGAGGTGAAGGCGTTGATGGTGGAGATGATCACAGCGTCCTGCTCACAGTTGTTACTGAAAGAAGGACATATGTACCTTAGGACACAATACTGGGGAGTAATTAAAATATGTTGCCTCTACCAATAGTAGGTTACGAACTGCTCAGTTGCTGTTACTTATGGACCTACTGTACTGAGTTGTAGCTGGAAAAGGAGATGAGGCCACCAAACGCCAGAGAGAAGGAATAGAATACTTGAGCACCTGCATCCAGCCAGGTCGCTGGGTTTGCTAACTCAGTGAGCTACACACATACACAGACACACAGATTTTACGTATGTGTACACGGCTACTGGCTACAATATGTAGTAATGTAGTAAATCATGGCGATGGCAATATTCATTGAATTCTGTGATTATGTGATTTTCTGTGAATATATACTTACATCTGGTGTAAAAAGAAATTTAATTCCCTCGACGGAGCCTTTTAGAGTCAGTCCTCTGATTAGGAAAATGGTGAGAACCACATAGGGTAATGTGGAGGTTACATATACTGCCTTGGGAGGAGATATAAAGAGTTCCTGTTTCAGTTCCAGTAATATCAGATATAAATATTAAGTTGATTCCCTATGAAATATGGTAATCACCTCTCAGGTATATAATTCACTGCTAGAACCCTACATTTGGGACGTTTGTAAGCATAGCGTGTATTAAAAGCAATATAAATGATTTGGATTGGTTTTAACGACATGAGTTTGTCATTTAAAAAGGAGGGAACCAATAGCGGCTGTTACAGTAATTATGCATTAATCTTTTATTAGTTATAACTTTATTTTATGCAGCTTTATTACATGCCTCTGCCCTTAACAGCATACATTCTACCATCTCTTTTTCCACTGCTATAAACTTATAAAAAAAAAACTTAATGTAGTAAATCTTTATGAGTTCTTATTCTTACACAACCACATTGCTAAATGTTATAGTATGCAGTAAAATACTATAAAAATTAAAAACCTACATTATATGGTTGTTCCATATAATGTGCTTAGAAATACACAGCATTTTTGTAGTATATATACTTAGCGTATGTGAGCTTTAATGTTTGTTTATACTTAAAAAGACCTCACTTGCTTAAACATGATGAGATCTCTTAAATGTTCTTTTCTGACCTTTTCTGATGACTAGAATAAAGCACTCACCTTTTATAGCACTGTATCAGTAAAGTTTTTAAAACTACTGATACAGTAGATAACTGCTCTTATGTAATTATGAAGTATGTGTACCTTGCAGATAAAGGCCTCTAATTTTCAGCAGTTAGTTTTCTAGTTTAATGGAATTAAATTATAAGGTATTGCTCAAGCTACAAGCTATTAACACAGACCAAGCTGGTCAAGCTGGCAGCTGAGAGAATCAATAATAAAGAAGCTGGAAAATGCAGACAGGATCCCTAGACATAGTGTACATGTCAAGGACATATATTTAAATATAAATGTAATCGCAACCACCATAACCTGGTCTACCAGCTATGCAAATGTGTTTGACAAGCACTTATCAGTTCAACCTGTGTTTTAATATGTTATGCAAGAAGGGTAATACCTTGCCTGTGGTCTCTATTCCACGGACACAGCAGACATAGAGTACAGCCCAGGCTGAAATTAGACACAGTACCATCCACCAATGCAGTTTTCCTGAATCATCTATGGTTGTAGTTGTGTCCAGGGTCTTCCTGTACCAGAAATAATCCACAGGGGAGCTCCTCTCACATTCTGACACCATACCTGTCAATGTTGTCATGTTTACAGTGAGTAAATTTGCTCCGAGCTCGGCCTCAAAAAGAAGAATGAGTATAGAATATATTGTATACATATATAATATGTTTTAGCATTGCACTAAAGATTTTGGTTGGGCCTACTGGCTGAACAAATGTAAAGGAACATTTTGAAGAACATTTCATTTTATGAATGATTCTTCCTCTAATCTCAAAAATGTTCTGTGCCTAGTGGCTGTGATACCTGTTCTGTTTGCATTGATGGGGCACTGGCTCCAAGGTAGCGGGTCCTGGAACGAGTTAAAGAAGTACCACATGACCCAGGCGATTATAGTGTTGTAGTAGAGGCTGACCAACAGGGACACACACATGGACGCAATTCCTGTGGAAAGAAGTTCATGATGTACAACATTTATCATTCCAACCTTTGGACAGGAGTGGAGAATGTAACAAGACAAAGATGTAAGGATTTAGCTCTAAAATTACTGCTTCTTCTTCTTCTTCTTCTTCTTCTTATTATTATTATTATTATTATTATTATTATTATTATTATTATTTTAAATTATAAATCTTTTTTTTCCCAAGTAGGGTCAAGGTTAGTTGGTGGTAATGAGTTTCAACTCACCTACTCCTATCAAGTAAGGGCTAATGGTCTTCCAGACCCCCACACTGCCTTTCCTCAGGCGCTGTCCAATAGCGAACTCTAGGTGAAGAAGAGGAACCCCTTCAAACACCAGCAGGATCAGGAAAGGAATCATAAAGGCTCCTGAAGGAGGACAAATGAACAGTAAGCTTTAATTAAGTTCACCACTTAAGATAATGTTTATTCTGGCATAACAAAAAGGCTGAAAAAACTTTACTGTGGTGATGTATATTTAGAAATTTGTGTAGAAAATTTCAAATAGGGGTTTACATTGTGAATAGTTTTGTGAATTAGTTTGTTTGAAAATCCCAGTCATGGACTACACAGTTTTGTCATGCATTTGGGTAGGGGTGTAACTCCATGCCACTATCTGTGTCGTTATCTGTATCTTTATGTTTTTAGTGATCCAAATATTCATATCTGTAGCTAGGGGTTTTGGGTAGGAGTGTAACTCAATGCCACTATCTGTATCGTTATCTGTATCTTTATCTTTTTAGTGATCTAAATATTCATATCTGTAGCTGTAATTGGCTTTAAACATGAAGTAGTTGGGGTCTAAACAGGAAAGTACACAGGATTGGGTTTTTTTTTTTTTTTTTTTTTGGTTTGTTTGTTTGTTTATACCTCCCTGTGACATTTTCTAATGAATTTAGCTGGTTCTATTTCCCTGAACATAGGCCTAAACAAACTAGCAGCCTAATGTAAACCACAGCAATTATGACCAGGCAGTTACTAAGGATGATGAATGAATGCTGTAAATGCATCGCTGTAAATGCATCACCATAAATGCATCATTCATTTTCCCTTTGTCCCGCACGCTTTATATCTTCCTGATCTCCTGACTGAAAGTAAAAAACCTAAAACAGCAAAATTATTTTAAAAAAATCTTGCTCCTATTTGTATCTGTATATATTGTACATATCACATAATCTATTCATTCCATATCTGTATTCAGTTACATTCGGTTACATTTCAGATCTATTGATTAGTGTGTATTTTTAGAGTAGGGACAATACAAAATTCCACAGTGTGGCAAACTCAGCATGTGTGCACTACAGGAACTTTGTGCGTATGTGCGCACTGAGGTACACATTGTGTTGTGGGAGTTCTTTTGTCAAAGGAATAGCTATGAGATTGCACTCTTATCAGCCTTTTCAACACTCTCTGTACTTGAACACAGAATAATCACAGTATGATCTGGGGCAAGAGTTCCAGACACTGAGGAACATTTGATGGTGGTTCACTCCGTTACTACCATGTGCTTTTATAATTATGTTTACGCAGGTGATGAAAGACTAACTCTGGCACATTAAGCAACTTTACCTTAGGCAACATATTAATGCATGAGAATATTCATTCTAAAGTTTTGTCTTTGACACTTGTTTGGACTGCAGCTTTCCTAGTAAGAGCGATTCCTTAAAGCACATGCTAGTGTCTGCTGTTTTTTTTTTTTTTTTACCATAGTTGAGTTAATATATATGAAAAAGTCATTGTTAATGTGGCTTTTTAGACACAGTAGTTGGCCTTGAGTCTTAGAGACCTCCTGCTAATGCTGTTGTAAATCTCACATTAGAGGTATGAATTTGACGAGGAAGCTGTAAATTGACCAAAAATGCAATTTACCAAGGAGATTAAAAAGACTCTTGCCTAATGATTAAGAGAAAGCACAACTGCAAGCTTAATTTAAAAAAAAAGGGTGTGACTTGTGCGACATACCAGGTATGTACAAAAATGTAACAAAAGTAATTAAGTTATAAAGCTATTGCTAAACTAGAAAAACCTGTGCAAGAAATACAGAAAATATTTTGCATATATAAAACATGTTGTTCATTATATGGGCGAAAGTATGTGGACACCTGACCAATCACACCTATATGTGCTTGTTGAGCATCCCATTCCTTTGCTGTTATAATAACTTTCTGCGAAGGATTTCCACTAGAAATCCTTTTCGAATGTGGCTGTGGGGATTTGCATGCAGTCAGCAATCCAGTTCATCCCAAAAGCGATCAATGAGGTTGAGGTCAGGGCTCTCAAGATCTTCTACTCCAACCATGTCTTTATAAACCTCACTTTGTGCACAGGGGCATTGTCATGCTGGAACAGGTTTTGGGCCTTCCAGTTCCCATAAAGGGAATGTTAATGCTATACCATACAAAGACATCCTATTCAGTTGGGGAAGGCCCACGTTTGGGTGTGAAGGTCATGTGTCCACATACCTCTGGCCATATAGCGTAGCTGGGCATTTGAATGTTTTGTTTAAAAAAAAAAGTTATTTATAATATAAATTTGATTGCAAATTACACTCCTTTCTTTCTTTCTTTTTTTTTTTTTTTTTTTACAAAAATGCATCACTGTTAGGAAAATTAATCATTTGTCAGCACAGGAATTTTTTTTTTGATAATTTTTCACACATCCTGAATATAGCAAGTGTGATGCATTAACTTTTTTTTGCTTAATGTTTGAGGGATCTGACCATG